TGAATATAGTGCCTTTTTTGCTTTAGCCAAAAGATACCTTGCTGGGAAAAAATAGGAATTGTGATGGTTTAATTAGAGGCCTGGCACTGATGTGACAGTGTCTCCCTGGGGCCTTCTGAGCCCATGGGTCATGTGCTTCATTCATACTCTAAACACTGTTAAAAACCTGCATTCTGAGACCTGGCTGTACTTAGAAGTAGAGTCTGTTGTGAAGCATGGAAATACAAGAACGCCTTCTCTGAAAAGTCTGGGTGGCGGTGTTTAGGAGTGTTGGGGTGGCCAGGTTTGCTTCACCCTTTCCTAAGCTGAAAGCAGCAGGGAGGCCGGTTACTGTGCTGGATGGGCCCCCAGCACGGCCATGCCTGTTCTAACGAGTGGTTCTGCCCAACAGAGAAGGTCCAGGGCGCCGGCCTGCCCATGGAGAGTGCCATCCTGCATGGGAAGCTGGAGGAGCATGGGAAGGCCCTGCACATCCTGGTGCACGAGCTGAGGGACTTCTCAGGGGCCCAGGACTACTGCTTGTGGCGCTCTGAGGGCAGGGACCCGCCCTACCGGCAGCAGCTCTTCCACACACTGCTCACCATGTACCTCAGCCCTGGCCCGTCCACACCTGAGCTGACGGTGGCTGCTGTGGATCTCCTGAACCAACACGCCAGAGAGTTCGACGCTGCGCAGGTCCTGCAGCTGCTGCCGGGCACCTGGTCAGTGCAGCTGCTCTGCCCGTTCCTGGCGGGGGCCGTGAGGGACAGCATCCATACAAGGAGGACCACCCAGGTGGCTCTCGGTCTGGCCAAGTCTGAGAACTTAATCTACAAATACGATAAGGTGAGAGCCTGGCCAACTTCTCTGACCACTCGTCGTTTTATTGCAGGGCCTGTTTTACTAGTGGAAAAATACTCTTTGTTAGGTTTTTTTCTCTACAACTTCAACACCTCAAACATGATTCTACTCACAAGGAAACAAGGCTGGGCTGGCAGGCGCAGCGCTGGGGTAGTTTTCCTCCCCTTTTAGATGCTGATGATCAAGATTGCATAGCATGTACATACTGTGTGCCAGGCACTTTTCTCACTTTGTATCATGGTATCACTTCATCATCACAGCAGTTTTAGGCAGTATCTACTAGTATTATCTCCGTTTTGTGGAAGAGGAAACTGAGGCACAGAGAAGCCACACAGTTAATGGAAGAGCCCAGCTGTGAATTCCAGGCCACTTGAGAGCCCACATTCTTGGTCCTTGTGGTACTCAGCTCCGGCTGTTCTAAAAAATACCACAGACTCAGGGGCTTAAACAACAGACATTTGTTTCTCACATTCTGGCGGCTGAAAGTTCAAGATCAAGGAGCCTGATGAGAGCTCCCTTCCTGGCTTGCAGACAGCCCCCTTCTCACTGTGTCCTCACAGGTCAGAGAGAGAGCAAGATCTGGTGTTTCTCCCTCTTCTCACAATGGCCCTAATCCCATCATGGGAGCTCCACCTCATGGCCTCACCTAACCTTAATCACCTACCAAAGGCCCCACCTCCAGATACCATCACATTAGAAATCAGGGCTTCATTATATGACTTGGGGGAGCAGGGGCACATGGACATTCAGTCCATAGCAGTCCCCAAGCTTATCTCCCTCTGTGAGGCCCATGCTCCCAGGCCGGCAGAGTGATCTTTCCAGGGCAGGAAGCAACACGTTCCCCACACTTGGAAGCCTTCATTATCCCCCCAGTGGAGGAGTCGAGGCCTGTAAGATTCAGTCCCACCTCCTTTGGCCTGCCCCTGCCCATCTCTCACGGCTCACCAGGACGTGTGGCATCTCCCAGTCCGCTATGCTGTGCCACACATGCGGCCTTTGTATCTGAGGTATTTCATTCCCAGTGCCTGAGGTATTTGTACCCTTTCCTTTTGTGCCTGGTGAACACCTGCTGGAAACCCAGCCTAAATACTTTTCCCCTTGTGAAAGCTTCACGCCCCTTTAAGCAGATTAACCACAGCCTTTGCCCATGCATATACTGTGCACACACATTCATAGTTGTCTGCCGTTACTCTTAGACCTTGGGTTCTTTGAGGGCAGAGAGCTTCGTTTACTTACCTTCGTATTCCTAGAGCCAAGTCTGGCATCTTGAAGGTACTGAAGAAATGTTTGTTGAATGACTGATGAAGCTTATGTTTCCATGGTGAATTCACACCATTAGGCTAACGTGCCTGGGGTGGCACAAGTGAATTGTGTAGAGAGGCTCTTTAACTTGCAAAAACTTAAGTCCTATTTATCAGACAGGGAACGATGGAGTCACAGCTCAGTTTCATTAGTCACCTTTAAAGAAATGAAATTATGTGTCCTAGGACCAGTCAGGAATGTGTGACTAATCACCCCTAAGGGACCAAGTCCCTTATTTGTGCCTTACTTTTCATGTTTGCTGATGAGAGGACTAGGGAATTAGATGATTTGTGTGGTCTTACTCAGCTCTAATATTCACAATGTTAGTAGGCCTTGCTAAAATATATCAGAGCTCACAAAACATCCGAGAGAACCTTGGTTGGAAAAGCCTTGGCCAGACATGCAGCAATGATTTTTGTAAAATAAGAAAGCAGTTTTGTGTTTTTTTATTTTTTTACTTCTCCAGTTATTAAGGATGTTTTTGTTTATTTTCACTTCTAATATTCTGCTTCAAGAAGTTGATATGAAAGCCCTCCTCGTCAGTAATAATCATGGGGTAACACATGTCAACTCTGAAAACGGTATAACTCTCTGTGAGAATTCTCAGCCTTTGTTTCTTTTTGCAGATGAAGTTGAAAGGAAGCTCTGTTCGGCTCTCGGACAAAAAGCTCTGCCAGATGTGCCAAAATCCCTTTCGTGAGCCTGTGTTTGTTAGATATCCAAATGGTGGTCTCGTCCACACCCACTGTGCTGCCAGCAGACACACGAACCCCAGTGCCCCCAGCCCCGGCACTCGGACTTGAAGAGGCCGCCTGAGGGCGCCAGGGGAACCCCGAGTTCTTTACCAAGCCTGCTGGGAGCAAAGAGCAGAAAGCCACTGCGCTGCGTCAGCCAAGACGAAGGGATGACATCTGCGTGCCGGGGAGACTTCAGTCACTGTGAAACGGGGACACTTCCCTCCTGACCACCCTGCATTGAATGTAAATGGAAAATCCGAAAATAGGGACATGCGAGAGTTTGCCCACCCAGGTACATCGTCATCCAAAGCAGCTGTCCTCTTGGAAAGAAAAATGAGCCTTCCCTGTGTGCTCCAGACAAACTGGACAGCCCCCATCCCCAAGCCCAATCTTCAGACAGCCATTCATTTGCACTGGAAATATTTGCTTCTAGGTGGCACAGAGGTGACATCCTCTCTCGGCCAGGTGAGTGGTCAGGGCACAGAGTCCTGTGCGGGCGGGTTTTGCCGTCACATGTGCTCCATCCCTGTGGCACGGCCACTGGGGTCCTGTCTGTGTCCGGGACAACCTGTGGACTCTGCCTTTGCCCTTGGCAATGGCTGACCTGAGGGAAGTGTTTCTGTTCCTTCCTGCTTCCCCTCTGGCTCTCAGCCCGGAAAAGGCTCTGCCTGTTTACCCAAGCACTCCCTTCGGGGTAACTTTGTGTGCTT